CTTGGAAGAGAGACAAAACGTTTCATTAGAGAAGAACCCGTCCAGAAGACCTATACAATTTTTTTCTTTTTGAAAGTCAGACAGTGCTTTTCAACCATGCTTCAACAGAAAAATAAAACACCTCATAAAACAGGCCTGGACAGAAATGATGGTACCCTTGAAAATAATGTGACCAAAGGGTCAAATCAAGGTGTGTCCACTAATTAGCATCACAGGTGTCTACAATCTTGTAATCAGTCAGTGGGTCTGTATWTAGGGATACAGATACTAACTGTGCTGGAATTTGCCAAACTACATATTGACAAGCCACAAAGCTTCAGAGAGAATCTCCTATGGGCAGATGAGACAAAAATTGAACTTTTTGGCAAGGTACATCGGCTCTATGTTGACAGACAGAAAAATGAAGCATTTGAAGAAAAGATCACTGTCCCTACTGTGAAACATGGAGGAGGCTGTGTTATGTTCTGGGCTGCTTTACTGCATCTGGCACAGGGTATCTTGAAACTGTGCAGGGTACAATGAAATCTCAAGACTATCAAGGATTCTAGAGAGAAACGTGCTKCCCAGTGTCAGAAAGCTTGGTCTCAGTCGCAGGTCTTGGGTCTTCAACAGGATAATGACCCAAAACACAGCTAAAAACACTCAAGAATGGCTAAGAGGAAATCACTGGATTATTCTGAAGCGGCCTTTTACGATCCTGACCTAAATCCTATTGAGCATCTTTGGAAGGAGCTGAAACATGCAACAAACCTGAGACAACTGGAGCAGTTTGCTCATGAAGAGTGGAACAAAATAACKGCTGAGAGCTGCAGAATCTCATGGACAGTTAGAGGAATCGTTTCATCGCAGTGATTGCCTCAAATGTTGGGCAACACAATTTTAAGTTAAGGTTACCATCATTTCTGTCCAGGCCTGTTTCATGAGGGGGTTTTTTTCCGTTTGTTTGTTTTTAGTTCTGTTAAAGAATGGTTAAAAAGCAATGTCTGACTTTCATTTGTTAATTTTTATAGAATTTTTATTTATTATTACTTTTTTCGGATTCTAGTTCTTTCTGTGACCATTGTGAGTTTTTCTGTACTTAAACGAGGGGCACCAACAATCGTGTCCATGTGTGTAGTAGGGTTGGGCAATATTGGCAAAAAAATTAATCACGATTAATTGTGGTATTTAGCCGATAACGATTAATTTGACGATTAATCCCCTGGAGTCCCTGGACACCCTTATGTCCTAGTCACATGACTAATTTAGGGGAAAGATTTGCTCTTTGTAAAAACCTGTTCCAAATTGTGTCAAAATTACAGACTTCAGGATGTACATCAAACTATAAATTGTGTTGATAGATAAATAAATTACACAACTTTTTTTACGTTCATCATATCTGAAGCAGAGAGGAGCACCGAGCGGACTCTGCCTGGTGGCATTAATCATATTAATCGCCAAGTGCCAAAAAGTAATCGATTAATGTTTTTCTGACGATTAATTGCACACGATACGATTATGCCCAAACCTAGTGTGTAGTTTTAGTGAGAGCTTGTGTTTTGTGAGGAAAAACAAACTGCAGCTTCTGTTGCTTCAGCAGAATCTTGTTTTGAAAGTCAATTTTAAGACTATATTCCAAACAGTTTACTAAAAGGTATGTTGTGCAGCGTGCCCACCATCTTCTCCAGGTTCACTTTTAAGCGGCCTGCCGCCAGGTCTTGGAACACGCGGCTGAGGTTTACTCCTCAAGGGGGGCTTCGATATGAGTTTGATGGGGATTCGTCTGCGAACATCCAGTCCACCCAAGCTCCCAGATCCATCGCTTCCTTGAAGATCATTCTCTGTTGATAAAAAATGAGCAGATCAGCCGATACCCTTTAACACAGGAAGTGACCACTCAAACATAATATTAATCACAAACACAAAGCAGGAATTGGGTACATGTTTGGCTTTAATCGACTAACGAGAAGGGCGAATTCATTACAACAATTAAAAACCAAACATTTCTGCCTTCCTGTCTCCCTCAGAACACGTGAATGACTCTCAGCTGTTGGTGTCAGTAGTGTTTGATGATACAAACAGCAGATGATGCTATGGTTTTAAGTTAAGCACAATAAGTGGCAATTGTTATAAATGACTCTCAACTACTACCACACCCAATTTTAGTAGCAGACATCTTAAATTGCATTGGCTCTAAAAAGCAGTCAGTTGCAGACATACTTGATTATTTCCAGAGTTTCAATAAAATCCATCCAGTGGTTTGTGAGATATTTTGCTAACAGACTGACGAAAAACATGACTGCCTGAAGCAGGCGATCACTGCTGTGTATTTGAGCTTTAATGTTTACAATAAAAAGTAAACAAAGATAATTGTTATTATTATTGAATGGAATTATTACTGTAAAAGGAGGTCTGTAACTATATGTAATAGTGTGTTACAGTGCCCCTGACTTGCACAAACGATGTTGAACCGTCTGCCCAAATAAAGAATCAACAAGCAGGTTAAAACTATTCTTAAAACACTTCTGACCTGACCTAAAAAGTTAACACTAACAGGTATTAGTACAGAGAACTGAAGTCTCACAAACCATCTAACAAACATCCTTCAGCCCGATTAGCTTTAAGCTAATATTAGTAGCATCGACGGTTCAGCTCCATTATTTGTTATTATAATTGAAAATTAAATCACTTAAGTTTGGTATAATCACCTAATTAACATCCGAGCAACATTAAAAAGACTCGTTCAAACAATTAAAATCTTAGCGTCAACTTCTGGTGAGCTGAATGTGTTTTAGCAATAATCCACCGCTAGCTTAAACCGCGCGAGCGGCTAAAGGTGCGCTTACGACTTATTTATGCGAAAACGTTTTCTGCGATGTTTACTTGTGTTTAATGAACCTGCTACTAAAACTGTGACCACATATTTGGACAAATAAATCGCAAAAAGAAACTTTGTCAACAGCGGCCTTTAGCTTTTAGCTTACCGCTTTGGTCCATGATCCGAAGAGTGAACGCAGTGCATTGTRGGGGAAAAGCCGAGAGTCAAGAGAAGAAGCCGGGTTGCCAGATCGGAAATCACAAAACATCGTACTTTCATTAAACGATCGAATTTCAGCCAAATCAGATCTGATTTTCCTTACAAAATGTGAATGTTCACATGAATATAATTAGGTTTTTTGGTGCACATAATTGTCAAAATTATTGAATGTTTAAGCTCTTTAAAAGCCATGTATTTCGCAGTTGTATAAATGTAATAATTAATAAATATCTGGCAACAAGTCAAGGCCAAGTCAAGTGTAGAGGTGGAAATAATATGATAAATTTCAATAAATATATACAATTAAACTGCAGTTGCAAGATACAAAAATGGAACTAATAAATTAGATTAAAAAAAGAACTTCATATTTATTTGAAGGATCTATTAGTTGAGGCATCTCACCCCATGTTTGAGTTCATTGATCAGGTAATGACTATAAACTAAAATGTGCAAAATAATCAAATTTTCAGCTTTTATACATTCCTGTGTTTTTGTTTATTTATTTGTACATTGYGGATGTTGAGAGTTGACAAAGCAAGATGCATATGGTCCGCAGCACTTTTGATTACAAGGCAAAAATATCCACATTACTGAGTGACACCATTACACACGAGTCTTTGAAGATAGACCAAATCAGAAAGAACATCCCAGACTACTTGAACAAGAAGACACGGTAATAAACCCTTCATTTTACCACAGATTATAAGGAAATACATTTTATGTTTATATGGACTGCTATGGGCACAAATTCCAGTCATACTGTAAATAATTTGTGCTTGTAGATTAATTTTTGTAACCTTGTAAAATAGTTCTTGCTTTGTGCATGTGTAAATATGTGTACAACATCTGTGGCAGAGCAGGTGAGGGGATGAAAAGGAGGAGGAAGAAGAGGGGGCTAACTTAGCATTTCCCCAGACCGGCTCTGATACCAAGTTTTTGTAAAAATATGTGATATTTTTCTGTATGTACGTATTCATGCAAAACAGTGGAAAATCTGTGTAATTATGGACAATCTGTACAACTTGACATGCATGTGGTCCATGTCAGATGCTGGGGAACCAGGGCATTTTGATGAGAAATGGTCTACTGGGACAATACATGCATGGACAAGGAAAGAGAACTTAACACTGCTGGATTACTATGCCAGCAGCAAACATAGAGAGAGGAGCTTAATGGGAAATATAACTATGGAAATTTTGATACCCATCATCCAGATTGACCCAGAAACCATTTCAGACCCAGAGTTCCAACATTCAAGTGAAGCATCTGCTATCACCTAGAGATTGACGAGGTACAACAAATATGCAAACATGAGTGAGCCATGACAATAGATCCTCACCATCAGAGTATGGTTACCATGCCCCATAGAAAAGCTCCAAAGAACAGAATACAACCCATACTAACCAAGTTAAACACCTGCACCCCTTACTGCTAGTAAAATTTGTTGAAATCTGCCACTTCCTCAACATGCCTTGCATGGGCTTATCTTTCCATGATGGCTCCTCTTATTCCTCCTCTTTTACGTTGGATTTCTGTTGCTGCCTGAGACAACCACTCATCGTATCATCAGGGGGATCGGTGTACTCCAGGATCGTAGTTGTTGCATCCTGTATTGCTCAGGTATTGATCCATGTGCCTATTCATCTTAGCCGCAATGATGCCTGATAGGAGCTCTTCCATGTTGTACAGAGGCAGGTGATAGGCTAGTCAGATTTTACGGGTATCTTTCATGATCAGGACTGTCCAGCCTTCGGTTGACCTTGGGTTAACCACTCTGGGTGGGACCATTCCATTTGGAGTTGGTTTCACCTTTCTGTTGTTCTGAAAGTTGGTGGATTTCTCTCCACGTGGTCTTGATCTTAGTTTCAATCTGCCTTTTCCATGGTGGACAACACTCCTTATTTATTGGCATAACATTTTAGCCAAGCAAGTCAAGGATCACTAGTCTGTGGCTGTTGTGTATATCATCTTACTGATCTCTGTTATTGTGTCAGTAGGGATACTGAGCAACGCTGCATTCACATCTTCCAGCAGGTCCTTTGACACTTAGCCTCGGCTAGAAAGGGCAGTAATCATGGCAGCACAAGGATTCAAAAATTCAAAGAAATCAAAGTGTTTTTTGTCATGTGTAAACAAAGAATTTCAGGGGGACAAAACAAATTAAACATATTAAAAATCAATCAATCAATCAATCAATCAATCAATCAATCAATCAATCAATCAATCAATCAACCAA